AGACCGAATTGTAAGTCCCCGTTTTCGGACTTTGTCCGAATGGGGACTAAAAATGGCCACCAGCTGGCCAGTTTGAATACATCTATATATCTATAACATGATGTAAAATGAATATATAAAATTTGAACATAATCAGTCAAAGAATTTGAGAGTCAGCCATTTTGAATCCGATCTGAAAAATCAAGATGTGCATCAGGAACCCATAATCTCTAATGTATGTACAAAGTTTGAACAAAATCCATCCATAAACGCAAAGTTCCAGTTCTGGAATGCCAGAAATGCTTGATTTTTGATGATTTTTTAGCACAAAAACAGCTGCCATTTGGCAATTTTGAATCAGATAGTCAAACCAATATATCTATGTCATGATGTAGAATGAATACATAAAATCTGAACATAATCAATCAAAGCATGGCAGAGATATGGCACTGAACTGCACTCACTAAAACAAAATGGCCACCAGTCAGCCATTCGCACTGGAAGTGTTCCTGAGAAAATGAAATGTGCGCTGATTAAACCTCTGCTCAAGAAAGCATCGTTGGATTCAAACATGCTGAAAAATTATCGACCGATTTCTAATTTGTCTTTTATATCTAAAGTCCTTGAACGTGTCGTTGCATCCAGAGTGAAACAACATTTAGAGAATTATTCGTTGTATGAAGAGTTTCAATCAGCGTATCGGACCGCACATAGCACTGAAACGGCTCTTTTGCGGGTCGCTAACGATGTACTATGCAGTATTGATAATTCTAAGAATTCAGTTGCTCTCGTACTTTTGGATCTTTCAGCCGCTTTTGATACTGTGAATCACAGGATTCTCATCGATAGGTTGAGATCAAATTTTGGTTTAAATGGTCTCATCATCAAATGGTTTGAGTCGTATTTGAGTAACCGCATTCAAAAAGTGAAAATTGGAAATGTATTTTCTGATATGACGTCTATATTAGTAACCGGTGTTCCACAGGGCTCCGTCTTAGGGCCATTATTGTTCTCAATGTACATGCGTCCATTGGGCGAGTTATTGCGACGTCACGGCGTAAAATATC